AGTCTAACAATGCAAACATGGTGAAAATCTTTTGCAACAAAACACGAGACTGGAAACATTGGAGATAGATGGATTTTTTTTTTTCTGTGCTTATTTTCAAGCATAAACTGAAAGAGCTCACCAGCTGTGAGATTCTAATCTCATATTGCTCTAAGGGTAGATATTCAAGTAGGTTAGTTTTCAGCAGTTATTTTTCAGCCTTCCTATACCTTTTGCCTGTTATTTCATAGGCTATCTATAGGTTAAATATAAACATGACAGGCAAGTTATAAATACAATTGGCAGAAAAGCTAAACTATAAAAAACCCAATTAACAATAAGGGAGAACTGCGAAGAACAGTAACAGGAACAGTGGCTAAGTACAGGAGCAGTGACATTGATTTAGTAAATGCTTATACCCACATGTAATTAATTAGTCAGCCAAAGAACATTAGGAATTCAAATTATGAAGAACATAATCTGTAACACAAGGTACTTTATTTAAACATTAAAATGCATATTTTTTCCCCACTATACAATAAAATAAGTGATTTTATGTCATAAATACTCAGACCTTGAACTGTATCCTTCTGTCAGAAAAACATTTCAATTCTTTCACCTACCATACCAGAAATATCTAGGGAAAGCATGCAGACTAACAAAAAGATGTGCAGCTGAGTTTGAACTGGAGGCAGTGGTTTGCCCCAGTGATCAGCCCAACACTAGAGCAACTCCAGCCTTGTGCTGGCAGAGTATGCAGAAAACACAGCTGTCAGCCGAGGTACAGAATCACTGTTTTGCTGAACTTTGCAATCAGATAATTCAAAATGCAGGGTATGAATGTATGTTTTGAAAATTACTTTGGCTTTTCAAGTAAGGATGGTGTTGATAAACTGACACTTTAGAGGATGATAGCAATTTTTCACCGATGTAGTATGTGAAAGTAGCAAAGGCAGCAAATGAGGCTTCATTACAGTATAAGTTCATCCTCACCTGTAAAAAGCAACTATTTTTTTTCTCTGCAGATTACGAAAGACTGGTTTTCTGAATCAGAAATGATCTTGTACATCTAAAAAGTCAGACTTCTTTCAAGTTAGTTTTTCCATACCCTTGCTGGCCATAATGCCACAAGCTGATGAAAGAATGCCATATTTTATTGTGTCCTCCTGTGTGTTTCAGTTTATACATTTTAAGACAAAGAAACATCAGTAAGGTAATAGGGTGGTAAGAAAAGCATAAACAAATGAACATTTGTTTCATATAGAAAAATTGTCATTGCAGGAGGTTCTGTAATCAGATCCACATAGAGAACACAAAAAAAATTATAAAAAACATTTGGGAAAATCCTTTCTCCAGTATGATCATAAAGACTTGTATGAGCTGGGGTTGTTTTTTGTTTTTTTGGGTTTTTTTTTGTTTTGTTTTTTGTTTTGTTTTGTTTTGTTTGTTTGTTTGTTTGTTTGTTGTTTTTTGTTTTTTGTTTTTTTTCTTTTAGTTCCTGAGCAAGACAAATTTATAAAAATCTGTGGTTTTATTTTGACAAAACTGAGGATCTCTAGGACTGACAGACAAAACAGTGGCTGAGGTTGCTGCTCCTTTGCAGTCATCCAGGCTGGAGAGAAACAGCTCTGTAGAGAAAGTCCTGGGGCTGCACTGGGCACTCACCTGGTGATGTTCTGCATGGCCCCGGCTGCAGAAAAGCCCCCCCCGTGCCCTGGTCTGTAAGAACAGGAGCATGGCCAGCCGGCCGAGGGAGGTGATAATCCCCCTCTCTCAACACTCACGGGACAACAGCAATGTGGTTTGTCCGGTTTGGGCTCCCCCAGCAGGGGAAACACATCGATAAACTGGAGCAAGTGCAGGTGAGGGCACCGAGGTGTCCAGAGCTGCGGCGCTGTTCTGCTCTGCAGGCTGAGGGACCAGGGCCAGCTCAGCCTGGGGAAGGCAGAGTCCAAGGGACGGCAGTGTAGCCCTCAACACCATCAAGGAAAGCCATCAAAAACATGGAGTTACACTCTTCATAACAATAGATACTGGAACGATGGACAGCAGGTATAAGTTGAGAGAGTAGCTTAGATTTGCTATAAGGGGGAAAAAAATAATCCTGATGATAATTTTGCTTTGGAGTATGTTTCCCAGAGAGACTGTGGGAAAGATTGGGGATTTTCATATCTGTCCAGGGCAGAATAACCTTCTCTGGTATCATGGCTGACCCAGCTGTGATAAGCAGTCTGGACCAGAAACCTACTCTGGTCCCTTCCAGCTGGAATTATCCTTTAGTACTGTGGTAATTTCTAAAGAATGTCTGCAAAAGCTCCCTACACAATAGGTCTGCTATTCTTAACCACTGTGAAGTTTTCCTGTTGTCTAATGTGAATCTCTTCTACAATGCAAGTGCATAAACTCAACTTTTTTTCCACTGCAGTCTCTGTCTTTGCAACAACTTGCAATGTTTTGAAGATTGTTACCATGCTATTTCAGGACCCCTTAGAATTTTTCTGTATGCTTAATACTTCAGACCATTAAGTGCCCCATTTCAGTTTGTTCTTTTTTTTGGGCCACCATATGTGGCAGTTTTCTTGGAGATTTCTGAGTACATTTCGAGCATGAAGTGTAATAGAGCAGGAGTACACTCAGCTAGCTTTTAAAATTTTATTTCTCTACTCCATATTTCACTGATTTTCTTAGTAAAAGTTTTCATAATGCATTTTTTCTTGTAGTCCTGTAGTTCCTAATATAATGTAATGCTTAAGCTGCTTCCGAAGTGGAATTCGCAGATTTTGCTCTCTTGCCTATTTTACTTACAAGAAATTATTAAACTATGATTCTTATGGTAACTCATTCTGTGCAGTCATCCACAACTGTAAGCTCTATGACTGTTCCAAATTTGCATGTCTGCAGCTCTTACATACAAGTTTATTCTCAGCAGAACAGCATTACGCTAGCTTCTTCTTCCTCCTCCTCATTTTTTTTCCAGATACATTTTTTCTTTCTTTTTTAACACCATGAGCTGCTCACTCATTTTCTTTGTTCCTCAGAGGATTTTACCTCTTCTATAAACACATACACGAGGATTGTTTCTGAGGCTACCTTTTCTTTCCATTCCTTGAATTCTGCTGTCAGGAAAACAGTTTTGCTTCAGTGCCTCAGGATGAACACTCTTATTTATCAATCTTTCCTATATTTAAACCTGTCAGAGTGACAGTCAGTGTAGCACAGGAGAGATGGAAGGGGTGAAGCTGCCTTATGCCTGAAGCCAGGCTGGGTAGACAGAGCTGTGGCAGCTCTGCACTTTGCCTCGGGATCAGCATCCCCAGTTGCACTGGCTATTCTGCCAATGGTACAGCAGATGAGGAAGTACAACTCTGTCATCCAGTGTATTATGTAAGGACAGATGTTTTCAGCTTTCTCAGACGTTAGAATTAGGACACTCTAGGATGCCCTGTACAAGAAAGTTAACAACATCAGAATAACATCAGAATATGCTTAACAAAAAATTGAAGACAGTGCAGAATGCGTTGCCGTAGCTTAAGTCTAACTGGCGTAAAGAGCAACAGTATCAAAACGCAGAAACAGAAAATGTGGCATGAGTTTGTAACTGGAATAAGGGCATGGAGGGTCCACTAAGATTAAGCATAAGTATTGTCCTGCTGCTAGACAGGTAGAAGGTAACTTAAAATCACCCCCTGCAATGCAGTCACTCCTGCTGCATTGAAGAAATAGCTTGGAGGCTTTCTTTCAAAAGGAGAGAAATTCCTTGGGTTGTTCTGGATTTATTGCTATCCAGGCAAAATTACTATAGGCACATTTAATCACTTGGTGCCACTAAGGCACTTGGGCAAAGTCTCCCATAAAACCTCCCCATTCTCTTCCAAGCAAGTACAGATGCAGGAAATTTTGCAGTCTTTTCCACGTGTACCCCCTATATATGGTCTGAAAAGTCACAATACCCTATGCTTTCTTCAATTTTTAGGGTTCATTTTAAAGTGTTTATTTGCTTAAATCTCACTAAATATTAAAAGATTTGTATGGGCTGTGTGCCTATCGAGCTGCAACTGGTGGGAGGACAAATTAATCTTGACTTTATTTCAATGAATTCTGAGACATCATTTGAATTTTTTACCATTTCTGTTATTTAACAATTACTTAAATATTTGTGGTCCTCCTATGTACAGATGGGCTTTGTCAAGGGGAACTGATGGCAGGACTCACAGAAGTTTGTGGCCTTTGACATGCCCCTGCCAACCTTGGCTATGCAAACCACTAAAATGTTATTAATATCTCTGTAGAATCTCTCTGATAAGTATAGCCAGTCCTGTGTCAAATGTCATCTGCAGCAAGATAAATATTGGAATAAAAAGACTGATTGAATGTGAGCAATATGAGTTTATCAAAATGTAATCTTTGACCTGAAATGCCAGTGGCAAAACACACTGAAGTGGGACACACACACTCCCATGGAGTTAAAAACAAAGCTCAGTAAGTGCTGTTGCTGAATAATCTACAAATATATCTTAATTGTCACTCAGAACTGTAGACCAATCGCAGTGGGGATAAATTCCTTAACTACTGAAGAGCTGGTATATTCAGAGAAATTGACTATCATACACCTGTACAGTGTTCCGTTCCAACTATTATTTTAGATCTATTTTAGACATAGAAGAATAATTACCTTCCTACAGTTTGTTCAGGCCAAGGCCTTGTTGAAATTCCCAGATGCAACTTTTTAGTTCTGTGAATATTAGTCCAGTAGGAAGAATACTGAACCACATGATGTTAATTAAAAATCAGCCATGAAGTGACAAAGATGGTATTTTGCTACCAGTCAAGATTGGATTGCAAGCCCTAATTTACTACTGAAATAAATTGTTCTGTAACCCCCTGCAAGACTTAAATTACTGTAACTAGTATGCCATCACTTGCATTTATTTCTCTTATTGGGAAAGATATCACAGCATGCATTCTACAGATGTACCTGTACTAATGTCTCTCTCCTTGTTTTTGCTTTCTCTCCTAGGTTTTCCTCCCTAGCTGAGCAAGTGACACACGGAGAAACATGCCTGAGCAAAGCAATGATTATAGGGTAGTTGTGTTTGGAGCTGGAGGAGTGGGAAAAAGTTCATTGGTCTTGAGATTTGTGAAGGGCACTTTCAGGGAGAGCTACATCCCTACCATTGAAGACACCTATCGGCAGGTGATCAGCTGTGACAAGAGCATATGCACTTTGCAGATAACTGACACTACAGGGAGCCATCAATTTCCAGCCATGCAACGCCTGTCTATTTCTAAAGGACATGCTTTTATTTTGGTTTACTCTATCACCAGCCGGCAGTCCTTGGAGGAACTCAAGCCAATCTACGAGCAAATATGTCAGATTAAAGGAGACATAGAAAGCATTCCAATAATGCTGGTGGGGAACAAAAATGATGAGAACCAAAATCGAGAGGTAGAAAGCAGTGAAGGAGAAGCCATGGCTAAGAAGTGGAAATGTGCCTTCATGGAGACCTCTGCCAAGACGAACCACAATGTGAAAGAGTTATTCCAAGAGTTGTTAAACCTGGAGAAACGCAGGACTGTGAGTTTGCAAATTGATGGCAAAAAAAGCAAGCAGCAGAAAAGGAAGGAGAAGCTGAAAGGAAAATGTGTGGTGATGTGAAATGCACTGTCAGAAATCAGCTGTGAAGTCTCATCCAACAATACGCATGTAAAATCCATAGAAGCAAACAACCATGCAAGACCCGATTTATTAGTATCTGTTTTAAAATAAATACTTGGAAATTGAAAAAATGAGGTACTGATTGCTATGAAAAAAACTGAAAAATAAAAATGTGTGTACTCTCTCAATCAATTAAAGTAAATCAGGAAGAAAACAAAAGATGTCCCAGAATACCTTATTTTGTAATATACAAAAAAGAATTTTCATAGTTCACATAATAGGAAAGATTTGGAAAATCAGCTTAATATTATCTGCATTTTCATATAATTCCAAGAATAAGCAATGTATAATATCAGAAGATAAAGAAATGGTTGTGAAGAAACCTAGAACATACAAATGCATGCTGGATGGTGTTAATCATTTCCTTCAAGAATGCTGTGGATGAACAATTCTATGCCATTTTCATTACTGACTGGTGGGAGAGTGTGCATAAGACTTTCTTGGATCACCTGAATAAACGAACAATTGCACAGTAAAAGGAATTGTGGGGATACCAGTTAGAAAGAACAGATATTGTCTCTATGCCCCCAGCATGATCCATCTTTCTAGTGTGATGCAGTGTTTTAACTGAAGGTTATGGAAAAGCCAATCCCTGTAAGAGAGCTGGAGATCATCTTTTCTGGGCTCATTGCTTCAAGAATGACCTGAGTTTCTGGCCCAAATATATTTCAGAAGAACAGACATTTGTTTGTGGAGAATGCCAGATGGGAATGGTGTACATATAAAACTCGAAAGCTGCTGCAGGGAAAACTGACTGGGTAGTCCCCTACAAAAGCCTCTGTGGGATAGACTCAGTTCTAATGCTGCTGCCTGTTAAATGAACACATGGTGTGGTTAGTGAATGAGTGGAATATCTTTTGAACTGGTGGTACCCTTGGAGAGCGTTTGGCATAATATACAAATTATCAGATAAGCTGAGTGATGCTTCTTTATATTACTATATTCCAGTTAGAAGGGTTTATGTTCATGCCCTATGAGATCTATTGCCTTTATATTGTCTGAAGTATTTTATATTTGCCATTTAAACTCATTATTTTAACTGCCGTGACTGGTTTATAGAACCAAATATATCTCTGAAATTAGTGCCCACAAGAGTCTCTAAAAGGAGGTTTTTTGGGATAAGCACTTCAGGATCTGGCATATTAAGAGTTGCGGTCAGGCTGTGTTATAATGCAATAAAATATTCAGAATAGAGAACACATTATTTAAAACATCCTGTCAGGGAAAACTGCTCTTCTCAAAACCTTTGAAAGTGGAAAAAGAGTAAAAGTTGTGAGCTTTCCTGGCTGTCTCTCCAAAGCTTTTTAAAAAACTAAAATGAATGACTGAAGTATGTATCCTAGTGATGACAAAGGCCATCTAAAATAAAATAAGCACATACAATTTTTAAATAACACATTAAAATTAGGTAAGTCACAATTTGTACCTTAGGAATTCCTTTAAACCAATAAAAAGAGCCTACCATGTTTTTATTAAATAATAAAAAGAAACATGGGAAAATGAAGTCAGGTACTAATATTATTAGCCAGTATGCTAGTGCATTATAAATATCTTCCAGGGGATGCTCAAATGCAGTGTTTGCATTAAAAATTGCTACCTTGCTCCTTTCAGTTATTGCTTGCTTACCTTTCACCCTTCTAGCAAAGGTGCAGACATTTCAGAGGTAGAGTAATAGAATACATAAGAATTGCTACTAGCTCTGTCTAGAAAGGAGCACAAATTCTGTCATTCAGTCAGGAGAAATTCTGGCACCAGTAGAATCAAGTGTGAAACTCCTACTGATTTCAAAGAGACAGGGTTTTTTTTGGTGTTTGTTTCTTTGCATTAAGAAAACTGGAAAGAGCATGGAAAAAGCTAATGCTCTTCATTAACAGTAAATTCCAGGCTCTTACACAACACTTCGTGAATCTCAAAGCACTTTGCAAAAATGACAACATCATTTTCTTAACTTCTCAGGTGGTGAAAGTGAGGCACAGAGAGAGGAAACAACTGCACATAGATTGTCCAGCAGGACAGTGACAGACCCAGGAACAAAAGCAGATCTCCTCTGTCATGGTCCAGTGCTCATTCTGTGTTTTGTCAGACTGTCTCTTTGCATTCTTAAATAGTTCCTGAAACACATAAAGAAGCCTGGTTTGACCTATGCGGCCAAGTGCATCTTTCTTGTCAGTCTGTCAATAGATCAAAAGGTATTTCCAGATCAGGGATGAAAAACACTTAAAAGCACTATGCTTAGTAAGAATTTTATAAATGTTTATACATTTACTCTGTTTATAAAAAAATTTGCTGATGTTATTGAACGTCACAGCAATGGATTCCGTGGATGAAGCTGGAAATCAGAAAAATTATCAACCTGAAGGCGTAATGGGTCTCATACAGAGGTCAAAAGTAGAGAGGTTTGCCCTCAGATGCTAACACACCAGTGCCAAAGGTCATCATGTGTGGCACATGCCTTAGCAGCCAGCATAGAATTATGACAGAATCTCAAAGATAAAAAGAAAAGCTATATATAGAACCTTTTAACATTATTGCTTGGACTGGATGAATTACTTACATAGTAAAATATCTTGCAGAAGTACAATATAGGGGATCTGAATTACTTAAAATGTACTTGCTGCAAAGATACTACAGGCTGAAATTTAGCCCTGGACTTTTTTTTTTTTTTGAATGTGCCTCATAGCAAGACTAGAATAATTGTATAGCAAAGATGGAAATAAAACAAGTAGCTGCCAATGTTAGGCTTGAGGACCATATTCCTTTAGTTCCCAGCTGACTCCTCACCCGCTACGTAATAAGCCATGAAGTATTTCATGGACTTGCATGTATCAAAGCAAGGCCAGAACAGAAGCAATATTACTCAAGGACCACAGACTCAAAAGAGAGCATATTTTATACCCTTGCATTGCCATCCTAGTTTCTACTATTAGATTTTACATATATTGCATACACGTGAGCTGATTTAAAACGTTTGTTTTGCTATTACATATAGAATTATTTTTTTTAATATGGAAAAAAATAAGGTAGATCAAGAAAATATAAAGCTTTATTACATTTTGTGTTTTATTTGGGAATGTGTTATCACTATAATAGCCTGTTTAAAATGTATATAAAAAATACTTAAAACATATAAGTTCTACAGTGAATTTTAGCACCCAGAAAACACAATCTAGCCAAAATGAATCTTTAAAATGCATGATTTTATATGTAGATATTAAATATTAAGGTATATTGTTGTCATGATAATGTGTTGTGATTTCTTTAGCAAATATTTTGTTTAAAACTGGATAGGAAGTCATTTGTGTCTATTAGTTTCCATGTTTGTGGTGATGTTCTAAACATTCAAAATAAAGTTTTAAATCTTAACACAAATTTGGAAGAAGTCTTGTTGGTATCTGCATTTTGTTTGTTTCATATTATATATTTTTTTTAAATTGTAAGGGCAGTTCTCTAAATCAAAACAGACTCTAACATGCCAGGCAGTGTCCCAACGTCTTCAGCTATACAAACCAATTCCAAGAGAATTGGAACAGTATTACCTTACCTAATGCTTACCCTTCTTCTATTATAGTCTGGAAAACACACACCTTTCACAGCAATCTACCTTCATTAAAAAAACAAACAAACAAACAGAAAAACAGCAACAAAAAAAACCCAACAAACAAAGCAAAACCAAATCAAAACAGCTTGTCAGTGGGTGCTCCTTTTGGCCAACAAAAGCAAAGGAATTCTGGAAGGACTCTATATCTTATTATTTCCTTTAAAATAATGCCAGATAGAACTGTGTGCTTGTTAAAAAATGATTTAATGTATGGATCTGGCTATTTGTGCTCATTTCTAAAAAACTTCTGATGTTCTTGCAAAACTTCCTACTATTGCATTCTATATTACCACCTCACCTGATGCAAAAAATGTCAATAATATTCAGAAGATGCAGCCATAGCTGTTCAATTTAATAATTATTTCCATATTCAAGCAATAATTCATATTCAACAGCGGAAAGGATCAACAAACAATCTTGAGTACATAGACAAAATAATAGGCATTTGAACCAGTGATGAAGTATTGAGCTTTGAATGCAATTTCATGTCATTGTGAAATAATTGCATTTGTCAGTCCACAAAGCTTTTTATTTTCGGTAAAGAGCTTTTATTAATTCTTTTTTTTTTTCCCTTTCAATATGCTATCAGTTACTGCTCTTGGCCCTGATTCTGACATAATCTATGGTAAAGCAGTGAATGTGGCAATTCACTGTCCTGGGTTTTACACAATATAGTCACTAATTACTTTATAGATGTTTATTATATCATATTCCACAGAAACATCAGGCACATTACAAAATTCCCTTGCCTTTTTTTTTTCCATTGGTTACCAGTCCTGTCTCCCAACGGAAAATATTTTAATTTTTTACTCATATGCGCATTCAAATTTGTGAATACCTGTCACATTTATTTCACTGGCATTTTAACTGACATGTTTTACTCATCCTCGAAGCACATTTTCTAATTAATCCGTGAATTTCATGTAGTTAAGCATGTCTAAAGTTTAGCTCTACTAAAACTGCAAAGAGAGGGAGAGCAGAGCTTTGAAAATACATATTGGTGAAGAATGAAGCCTCTTCTGTAAATTAACCAGACGTATATGCAGTTTAAAGAAAGCATTAAAACTCTTTTCTTTCACATAATTTATCTTGGTTGCCGATGCTGTTTTATAATGACTCAAGGAGTCCCTCTGAAATCATAGCTGAAGTTAGAAGGAGGAGCTGTTATTCAGTCTTATATATTTATTTCACACTCAGATGCCACAAGTGACCAACAATGGATCCTACAAGAGCATCTCTATTCTTGGGTTCTCAGGTTGTAGTGCAGCTGGCAAGGGGAAGGGGCAGAGCAGGGATGCAGCACCACAATCCCCCCCAAAACTAAAATCAGCTTCTCAGCCTCTATACGTGGTGCTCTAAAGCTGTGGATGACTGTGTCTGTCACATGGTAATTACCACTGTATTTGGGTTAATTTCAGTAGAGAAAGCAACAAATAAGCAGAATTATTGTACTTCCATAAGATATGTATGGCAAATTTCTTTTAAGAAGTAA